ATAATGCAGGGCTAAATTCCAAAGAGAGCAAACAACTGAAAAGGGAAGGAGAGATAAAAGACAGTGATAGCAGAAGGACCATTGTGTATAAATAGGTACAAATAAGACTGAGGTGGCAATTAAGCTTCTGATAATTGAGGTTGAAGGTCTGCAGTGTGTTTCACCCAGACCAGAAAAGACAGAAAGCCTAACTAGTTCTAAGATGAATTTTACTCAATTTATGAATAAGATATTTGGTGACACAAAGGTGTATAATAGCAGGTGATTTGACTTGAGGAGCCAGGAGAGTCCTTCCAGACTCATCTTCTGATGAACTTCTGTTGACCCATCTCTAAGAGCAGACCAGGACAACTTTCTTACAAACTATTTTTATCATTTGAGGAATCAGTTTCTGAGGACCTGACCTAGTATTAGTAGGAGATATCAGCAAGAAAGAAGATTTCTGTGCTCTCTGATATGTGAAATTGTAAGTCTGACCCAATCTAGTCAGAGTGGTGTGAAAGCAAGGAACAAAACAGAGCTCAGTCTCCACCTGATCTTCTGTGTCTGAAAGCCAGCTAGCTGTGTCCCCAGGTAGAGCTGTGTGCACTAAAATAGGGAGAAGCAATCAGTTAATGAGAAAGACAGCTCTTATCAACATGAAATAGTCTCACAACATTTGAGATGCAGCAAATGTTTTTTTCCCTGCTATTCTTGAAATCCGCCCAAACCCTTTTTGTGTGAGCACTAAGAAATGAGTACGTTGAGTCATCAGCTGAGGAAGCAGGTAACAATCCTCTCTCATCATGCTGTGTCTGTTGGGGGCTTCTCCAGTGATTAAGAAAGCAAAGGCTAAAAAGAAAACAATTCTTTCTCTGCTTGACTCTTCTGAAAAATATGAGAGCAGACCATGTAGCTATGGGAAACAAATTGGACATCTGAGACAACACACACTCTATGGACACAGTAATGCTGTTTGAGTTTAGAGTAGGTTGGAAGTAAATAAATAACCAAACCCAGTTTTTTTATGAAGGGATTAGAGGGGGTTCAACATTGTCAGAGGTGGTGTTTCAGTGACAATGAGAAATGCAGAAAGAGGAAGTAAATAACTGCTGCTGGCAGGAGAAAAAAATTCCACAGGGAGCTGATCCACATGATGAGAACTACATGAACTATAGCAGAATTCAAGGGGCTACTAAACTGCAGTAAAAAACATAATAAAGTGGCTGGGCAATCAGATGAGAATGAAATCAGCTCAGGTAGGCACAGTGAAGGTTAACCAAATAGCAAACTTAAACGGAGACTCCAGTGGAAAAGAATTAGTTGCAAAGGAATCAACAAATGCAGTTTTATGGAGTCACAGTTGTATCCTGGTTAGAAATGCAGTAACATATTCAGATAATAAAAGACTAAATTATGATGCTGTTACTTTCTGGGTGGGTCTCACCCCTATTATCTGGTATGCCAAGACGAATTTAAAGGAAAAAGTAAAAATGAGCAATTGATGGACTATCTCTTGAGGAATTAATTCATAGTGGGCAGTCTTGTCTGAGGCAGGGGTCCTCCCAAGTGGGAGCATTCCCTAGAAAGCTTTTTGCTGTACAAATTCCCTTCAAACTAAAAGCAAAAAAGGTGTTTATTCCCAGTGGCATCTTTGAAGACCTTCCTGCTGGGAGAGAAATAAGGTCCTGATGCCCGAGGAGCAGCCCTGTGACATTCTCCTTCCTCTGACCTTGGGATGAAAGAGCACCCACACAAAGCAGATCAGTCAGTTCTGGAGGGACCTTACCTGCTATTTCTAAATACCCAGCACTAACAACCAGAGCGAAGTTGGGACAGGCTTTCACTGCAAAAAGGAGCTGGAGAGCATGTGAGAGGAGTGAATCATTTGTCCTTTCATGTATTGAGAATTTCGGCACGATACCCCCACCTTTTGCTTTTCTCTATACGCAAGAAAGGAGTCATCCCTTCTGCCACTTCTATTTATAAATAAAGCTAAATTGCTGAGTGCTTAAGAAAAAGAAAAGCAAAGAGGTTGGTCAGCCTGGATTTTAAGGAGAATGTATCATATCCAATATGCATGGTATGTTTAGCTCTCAGCTTAAAGAGCACCACTTTGCAAAAGCCTGGAATGCCCCCAGTAGTTCTTCTTTTCTTTTGTGGAGTCTTTGCCACTATTTTTCAGCTCAAAAATGTGAATGAAGTTATGCCTTGCAAGCAGCTCTGTAGTGTATTGCAGTAACAAGTGGAAAAAATCCATCATAATGTTTCTTTAATGCCCTTGGTATCCTTCAGAAAGTCTGTGTGCTGAAATCCACGTGAAATAAACACTTTCCCTCCACTTAAAAAATAGACAACAAAGCAGTGAGATCTGTAAATATAAGTATCATGCTGTGAATCATATGGTAGGGTTTGTTAACCTTTATGATATGAGCAGTATAATAAGCCCCTCTGGCCACTGTTTCTCCTCTTAAGTAGCATCATATGCCATCAGCATGGGATTATAGCAGGAGAAAAGCAAACTTGGTGTGTACAAAGCAGCAGAAATTACCCCAGCGAATAACTTGGACAGAATAACCACTTGTCAGTGCTGGCAATCTTGGCTGGGATATGAGTAGTTGAAGGTCTGGCCAATAGCTACTTTTTTAGGGCAAATAAAATAACCCTTGTGCCATGGTATGTATTTCTGGGTAGAAGAGGTTTATGGCATTTCCCACCAGCCACAGATGACGCTGCACAGGGACCAGACTGTGACATTCTTTCTCAAATGCTTCTTGCTTTACGATACACAAATGTCCTCTTGATTTAAATGGGACTGACTGTTCTTTATGAAGAAGGGGGGAGCAAGAGAAAATTCTCTGATTTTTTAACACGAAACTTCACGTCTTGCTGACAGTGGTGTGTGTATAAAGCACATAACTAACTCTAGTTGTGTGGCTGCAAAACTGAGGTGACAGAATTGACTTAAGTATTGAGTGCTGATGTGGCTTAATAAGCTCTACTTTAGCAGTGTGATGTTTGTGTCAAAAAAATCTGATCAGGACAAGAATTTGGATTGTACATTTGCATCTTCAAATGAAAAAGAGGACAGAAAGGAATGTTGGTTCTATTAAAAAACAAAGATTTTTTTTATCTTTCTAAAGTCTGTTGTATAGCTCAAGTCTGTAGCTGAAGTTTTTAATTTAGTTTGTGTGTGATGGAAATAAGATGGGTCGTATTTCTAGCTTATAGAAAACTTCAGAATACTTTCAAGGAAGTAAAATTTGCCAAATCTGTCAGGCCCATAAAGAGATGTTCATCCCCAGTAGCAGAGCAGCTCTGGCTCTGTGCCTGCCTGTATTATCAGGTGTAATTGGCATTGTCATTTGCTCTTTGGGTCAGAGGTCCTGTCTTGCTTGCATCTTGTAATCCTATGAAAACTAAAGGGAAAGTGAATGATAATGAATATGGAATTAGTAGGTGTTCTAACTCAGTGGTAACTCCTTCCACCTGGGGGCTTCCCTCCTCTCCATTAAAGCTCCCACACTGACCCCCAGGACTGGTTATAAATCTGTAGGACCGTGGTTCAGCCATGTTATCCCATTCTTGGTGTTGCTGGAAGTGGCACTGGGGTGGCCCTGGCCTGAGCCACAGGGATGCTGTGCCGACCTCCTTGAAAAAATGGCAAGTTTGCTGCTGCCTATATAACTGTGATAGAGGAATCTCACCTCTAAAGTTCTATGTTATACCCGAAGAGAGAATTGTGGACCCAATTTTTTTTTATTTGCAGTTTTACTGGGGCTTTTGTGAAAACTAGGGGTTTATTCTGTATCTAGTACCCAACCCACTGCCTGTTTGCACCTGTAGCTTCTTATAGTGCATTGAAGTGCAATGCCCACAGCAGGAACAGATAATTCACTTTCTCAAAGATGCTGCTTCTATTAGCCTGCTCATCAATAACTTGGGCTTTTGGTCATCCAAAGCCAACAGCACAAGGCCTCAGGAAAGAACTGGAGAGAAGCAGCTGTGTTTCCTTGGGGATGTCTGAACTCAGCCTGTTTCTGCTGCCTCCCAGCAATGCAGACACTTTGAGAGCACCCATTTTGGTAAAGTACTAAGCACCTTTACCTCCCACTAAACATGTGAGTGCAGGCACTTACTGTTGTTTCAGCAGCTGCTCTCTGAGACTAAAGGAGATAGAGCTTCCCCAAATATCTAGCTAATGTTTCTTCCTTGCTAGGGGTTGCTAAGTAGCAGTTTTTGTCAACCTCCTATCTAAGAATATAAATCCTGTGATTTGCTAGGACACCCCTGATGAGAAAATGGCTCCGATTCCTTCAACGTGCAGAAAACTCAAAACCAGTTATTGCTGGGGAAAAAGCATTAACATTAGCATTCACAATCTGGGGAGGAGAGGCTTCTTCCTCCTATTTTCAGAGGAATAATTTAAGAATTGCATTAAAACAGTCTAGTCTACATGCAAATTTGATTTTTGACCTTTTGTGCTAATCAACAGCCATGGTGCTAAGAAGCTGTGTACATTATTGAGGAAAGTATGGAGTAGAATTAACTACTATACCTTTAATATGGTTGTAGCAGATTTGAAGGTTATTTCACATACTTCAATACATAGGGTTCAGGATCTGAACCACTAGAAATGCTCCGGGTAGCAATTATTAACTCTTAATGGAGGCCCTGGTGGTAGGTGTAGTATACTATGGATATTAAACATATTAACAGTAGTTTTGGTGGTTATGTGAAGAAGGGATATAACATAATAGGCCACAAAGATTTGAGAAAATTGCATGTAAAGTCATTTTAAATAAACTGGGCACACTGTTAAATAATTAGGACTACTTAAAGGTATCTAAACCCCATTTGAGCTCAGCTCCTAATGGAATTCATGGAACACAATTTCTGGACACAGGAGTAACATGTGCAGCATGAAGTATCCACCAAAAAGCACAGGTCACACACAGACACACACACACACAGACACACACACACACACACACACACAGAGGCTTCTGCCACCACACACACTACACACCAGAAAGGAACCTTATACTCATTCTGGTGTTTCTTATAAAATCCATTTCTGGCATGATCTTTTTCTCACTGCTTTCTCCCAGTCTTTTTGCTTCTTCATCCATGGTAGGACTGAAAGGTGCTTTCTGGTCTAGGAAATGAAATCACAAAACCATAGACTGTGTTTATTCCATAGAGAATCTATCAGGCTGAGGGTAAACTGGAGGAGGAGTGAAGGGGATAGGGAGAGCTGTCTGGGCAGTCAGGGCTGCCAGCACAGAGAAAGAGTCCCCAAGAAACCCCTCAACTCTCCTCATCCATCAAGGATCATGGAGAACACCACTGAGCTATTCAAGCCATTAAGCAAGTTGGTGTACCTGAAAAGGTTGGCTGTTTTCTAGTTAAAGACCTTTCCAAGTTTTTTCCAATATATTTGTTTCTGAAATCTAGAGTAAGTAAGTACTGCTGGAGATGCAGCCATGTCTGGCCACATGTAAATTCTGTGATGACCTGGAAGGGAAATGAAAATAATTTCCACTAGCTCATTTTTTTCAGTTGTAAGAGAGGTTACTTTTTTTTGAGGAAAAAAAAAAAGGAAGTCTAAAAAGGAGTGAAATGGATTCCAGAAAGCTTGACAGAAAAAAGGTGACGAAACCAACCCATCCAGCTCTAACAGGGTTTTGAAATTTCAGACTTTGCAACCTTCTGCATCTACAGCTTCAATTTTGCTAATGCAAAAGATAAAGCATGTTCTTCCCATCTATGCACTTTTCAGTGCTGATCATCCAAAGCATTAATAACTCAACCCTTCAGAACATAACATCTGGATCTTTTACTGCAAAAGAAGCTGTTTCGTTGTTCCCTGAATTTGTGAGGTTTAATTTCCTACAGATCTGTGCTTTTGCCATCATCACCACCATAATCCCAGGTTTCCTGCATGTCCTTTCTGATCCCCCCAGCTGGCATGTGACAGCCTGTGCTGTGCCATGTCCAGAGTTTGTGACTGCTGCTGTCAAAACCCCTTGTGTGTCAGCTGAGTGGGCCTTGCCCTGACCTCGGGAAGGACAGATGTTCAGAGCATTTGTACAAGCCACCTTTGTGTAGGGAACTGGACCAGTTCTATCCTCCCTCCCCTTCCCCTGCAGAAAATAAACCTAGATTGAATGTCAGTGTCACTTTTCACAAAGGAGTTCTCTGTTTGCAGGGAGCTCTGCTTTTAAGATGCCAGGCTGTGCGGTCACAGTGACAAATGGGCAACCCCACTCGGCGCTCTCTGGACTTACCCTGATATAAATCAAAGCAAGTGGACCTGATATTTCCCTTGCAGCATATTCTGCTTCTGATGGATTCCCAGTTTTGTGACAAACTGCATTGTACACTTGGATCTCGATGTGTATCTGCTCCTTTTCCCTGGCAATAAGAAAACTTTGAAATCAATTCAGTCCTTACACTCCAGCAGAACTCGGACTAAAATTGGACAGATATTTGTTACAGGATAGGAAGATTATTTAAAATAACATGTTCTTGGGATGCCTGGTATTTCACACCCACTGTTAAAATGGGACTTAGCTCCTACTTTTAATTTCACCTCTGTGAGATACAGACCTGCAGTTTGGATACTCAGTGCCACACTGAACTTGGAGCTAAACCTGTTGCTTTTGTTGTCTTCTTTGGGTGGGCACTGTGATTTTCGGTCAGATCTGAAGAGTTAAGTTGAGGAACCTCTATTGTCTCAACTGATTTCACCTAACACTGTTTTATCTCAGCACCAAGTGTAGGAAAAGGAACCATGTCTGCTCTGTCTGAGAGGGTTTCCAGGACAGCCCTGATACAGATATTGTTTCTTGCCTTTTCTTCTATACCATTTTATTCCTAGAAACTTCAGGGATCCTAAAACCTGTTCTCAGAAAAACTTGTATAAAATTGAAGCAATTATTTTAGCTGATAGATTAAAACATATTTTAAGACAGAACTGTTCAATCTGTTTTATAATTGACTATATATTTATAAAATTCTATAGGATTTGAATCTTTTACCCTTACTTTTTTTCCTTCTTTCTTTTTCCTTATTGGGAGGCATAAGAAAATGACTGATGACATTTTCGGACTCATTCGGTGATTTACGAACAAAAAATCACTGAGTTTGCTTGTGTGCTTCTGAAAGTCTCACCCTTGCTGTAAATTGAGGGAGTTTTATTTTATGCTTCTTTTAATGCCAGTGCTTTTGTCTCAGAATATTCTCCTCAGTCACATCAGCAAGTAAAAGGAAGACAGGGATTTTACAATTTTCATGATAAATAAGTCCTCATTTTCTCTCTTTGAACAACCCCAAAGCTCTTGCCAGAAATCCAATACATGGGTGCTCTGCAACTTGCAAAACACCATCTAATTTTATACTGGTTTTCTAAAGCAAAACCAACACGAACAAAGCAAGTTTACTTGTGCTACCTCTTTGCATAGTTTTGTGGCAAACACTTGGTTTCCTAATTCCTATTTGTGTTTTAGAAGTAGATTTTTTTTTTTTGTCTCCAAAGACGCAGTTTGTCTCCTTTTGGAAACCTGATTTATCCATTGAGTGCTGCGCTCAGCAGCGTCAGAGCTGTCCGACCTGGGGGCAACTCTTGCAGGGAGCAGGCAGCCTCTCAGCCTTTTGGATGGCTGTGTTGGCAGTGACAGTGGGAGGTGAGCTACACAACCAGTTTGTGTGACAAAAATAGAGGCTTTCCAGAATTTGACGTGGGAAATGTACTTTTCCCTTTATGTTTCTCAATCACCAACTCAAAGGCAAGTGTTATCAGGGTCAACTATGTTCCAAATCACCAGGTTAATGACAGGAAGAAGTGCCTTTTATCGTCCTGGCTCTCTTTTGCCAAAATGTCATGTCCACTCTGCTTGAAACGAGCCCATGGTCACAAGAATTTAGGCATGTGTTTGCGCCAGGAGATGGTATTTGAGTTCACTGTGCTGGGAGATGATAACAGACCCTGATAAAGCCCTTTTTCACTCTGGATCCTACTTGTTGTCAACAGGCTAAAGGAAACCTGGCTGTCTATTCCCATCCATGCAGGTAAAATGCTCTCAAAGGTGGTGGTCAGCCCAGTAGAGCTCATAAAAGGCAAAGGTAATTTTGGAAAGGGAGGGCCCTGCTGCAGGTGTGACCGTCAGTGGTCACACAAATCCATGGAGGTGGGAATGAGCTTGAGTGTCCCTGTCACCACAATATGCTTGCAAACCTACCTTTGAACAAAAGATTAATTGCAATAATGAAATCCAACAACGGAAATATGGCGCTTCATGGATAAAAATAATATTTATGGGGATTTGCAGTATAAAGTCTGTACTTTGCCTGAGTACTCGTTCCATTACCTAAATCACAGACAATCACAGAGCGGATCTCAGAAGACTGTTTTCCCCCCTGGAAGTGTAGAAATGCCTGGACCTCAAGCTTCAGAGTCTCTCAGCCTGTTTTTTGAGTCAGAAACGCACACAAACAACACACAGTGCTTAAGAGCATGTGACATCTGCTGTTACCTGTAAATATGTGCTGCATGTAATCAGGGTGCTTTTTAGCAAAGGTTTTGTCTGCCTCCTTTATTTTGGCACTCTCATCTCCTTTCACAAATGGTTTGTACATAGCCAAAAAAGATATTTCTCTCTTGAAAGCTTCTTGAAATATAGCCTAAAAAAAGGCAAAGAAATTATACATTTCATATTAGGAAATGGCTAGTTAAAAAAAATAAAATACCCCCCCTACTTTCTCTGATGATATTTTCCCTTTAATAATTGCACAGTCATGCAAAGATAACATATTTTGATCTTGAATATTAATTAGAGGGGAATTTAAATTAGTTCCAGAAAACACTGCCTTTCTATACTCAGAAAATCAATTTAATGGAGAAAGAACATTTGTAAACAGTTTTCAGTGCAGTGAGCCTATGTCCTCAATGAGGAGAAAAGTATTAGCTAAATTATCTTTTAGATGAAAAGAAAAAGTGACTCCATGCTCTCTGAAGGTCACAGCTTTCATCTGAGGGTTTTATTCAGTCCTTGGGAGTTGGTTAAACAATGCTAAGCATTCACATTACCCCTTGGGTTGGCATGAATCAGACACTGTGCCTGTATGGAATATTAGTCTTAAAATATTGCATTTAAGCACCGTTTGCATTAAGAGTAAAATTCACTCCTGTGCAGAGGGCAACATGAAGCTTATGAACCTTTTCATCCCTTAAAAATGACTTAAATGATGTATTGTGCTGGTGTGATGTGAAGAGGTGGATTTCACACTCAGTGGACCCCAATGAACTGGTGCTGGAGCTGCCAGGAGGAGCTGCCAGACTGGGAATAGCCTTGCTCAGCCCTATTATCCATCAGGGCCAGGGAGGCTGAGCTGCAGCTCCTCCTGGGCTGGGCTTTGGCTTAAGACTGTTCAGTACTGCTGTGGCTGCATCTGTTGATAACTACAATTTTGTCTTCTTGAGGTGGGCATTGCTTTCTGAAAACTGGGGGAACTGCAAGGCTTCGTTAATGTATCTTGGCAGAAGCATAAACCTGGTTAATAGTGGCAGGGCTAACACGAAGTTAATAGAGATGGTCAGAAAAGCATGACGTGAAAAGATATATGCATTTTTACAGGGTATATGAATCTCCCAGATCCCCTCATCCACTGAAGTGATTCACAGAAGGCATCACTAGGGGTCCAGCTTGGTGTTTTATTAACAAGCCCTCATATTTGTTCTCCAGTCTATCCTCCACCTATGTAAAATTATCCAAGACACAGTGTGCCTCCATGAGTCACTGATTTAGCTGATGACTGTTCCCACTAAGCCAGAATGGAAGGCTGAGACTGCCAATTAGTTAAGTATCTGTGTCTTTCTCTCAAATGGATTTAGACAACAGAACTTCTGATATGGTCTTATGCCAGTTTATTTCCATCCTGTTTATTGGTATGGGTTGTGCAGAAATACCATAGAAATGCTATAATTGTTTTGAGTAGATTTTGGGATAGGCTACCACACGTGCACCCTGAGTGCTCTTACACTGAATACTCTGCCTGGATCTCGAGGGTATTACTGGGGATCTGTTTATATTTTAGAAGTCTATATTTAGTCAGCCTGTTATCCTGTATTTATTGGAATGGAAGCAGTCTGGAGTGGCCAGTTTAGCCCTGGAGAGTTAACAAGCCTCAAATGTGTGTAATAGTATCATGACCACCTGGGGCAATAATAACATTCTGCCCAGGTGAGGAGAAGTTCCAGCTTTCCCTGGGCACAACCATGTTATCCATGGGCACAGTGGTGTTATCCATGGTTAGTGCCACAGATCTGGAGGTATCAGACCAGAAAATAGCAAGTGTGTCCTCCTGCAAAGAACTTTGGCGACACACAAACGGATCCGTGCCCATTCCTTCCTGTGGGAATATTTACCAGTCTGCACTGATTCACAGGAAAGTGATATTAGGTTTCCTTATTTCTATGGACTTTAATTATCTTGTTGTTCAGGGCCCTTAGAGGATCAGTAGTAAAACAATGCCACCAATCTGACTTTCCAAGGTACAATTTTTAAAAGGCAGAGGCTTACTTGTGCAAGTTTTGCTGAATTTCACATGTAAATATAGGCACAGAATTAGGCCAGCCTTATTTTGTATGAGATGTTGGGTATTCTGCTTGTTTTCTATATCCTGGCAGCCCTTTCCTAATCTGGACTGATAGGAGCATGTGAATGTGTTTTTGGGGTGTATCCATACACTTCAGACTTAAAATAAGTGTATTGAGGAAGATGAAAACGTGAGTGGCTGGACCAGACAAGCTCTGTATTCTGTTTGCAAAGTTCACTTTTGGGTTTATCATCCTCAAGAACAGCTCAAAATCACACCTATGGTATCTTGGCATTGCCCTGTGCCCATGGCTACTCTGCACAGAAAATAGTGACCAGCTCCGAGGGCTATAATGATAAAATGTCAGCCAGTGGGGAAAAGAACAGATTCAATTTCTGGTCCATACTGTTCCTGAAGGTATTCTTATTATTATCCAAGAGCATTTATTTTCCCCAGGCTAGTGACCCTGGACATAGCCACTATTTGTTTTACTATCCTCTTGGATTTTTATGGGGTAAAGTCTTTACAGATATGAAACTTCAGCCCGTAAAAACTTTTGAGGAGAAAACTTTTTATGATGAAATCCCGAAGGGTTTTTCTCCTTAAGCCTTTATGCAGTGAAGTCCATCACTGTGGATGAATATCTGGCAACATATCCAGGAAACAGGGATGCCTACAGAACATTTCCCGTGCTGTACACTGTGCAGTTACTCAAGATACAGTCACAGTGTGGAGAGGATTGGAAGGGCTAAATGGACTTTCAGGAAAGTCCTTGCAAAAGTGGGTAGTACAACTGTTTTTTCCCATTTTCATGTGTTTTGATGTCCTTGCATTGGAAAGCTCCTTTCTACAAGGTCCTGTCAGATACACCAGGGAGGATATTGCTGTTCTGCCCTTAGAGGGGAAGAAGTGTCAGGCTCTCTCATGAGTGTGGGGGCAGCTGCTAAACTGATAAAATGATAAAGAAAGAAGATTTGGGGTTTTACTTTTTTGTGGATCTTGCAAGTGGTCTCTGCAGTGATATCTGGTCTCATGGTGCTACACTCCAGCCCTTTGTTCAAACAGAGTTAGAAAATGTGAAGTCCTTGGGGTGAACTTAAAATGGAAGAAAGAGCTCCTCTAGCACTGTATTATGAGGTAAGGACTACGACACGAGGCTACTGATTTTGGTGATTTACCTGGGTAGGGGACAGAATCCAGCTTCAGAAAATATGCAACAACTTGTTTAAGAAGAGGCTGCAGAGTAATCTGGTGATAGGAAAGATTTCTTTTTGTAGTTATGGGACTGACTCATGCTCTGCAATGTCAGGAGGTTTATATCCCTGTTTTGGAAGTGTGGGGAATCAGAGAAAGTCTGCAGAGAAACCATCTGGAGACAAAGTGTCTCAATGAGTATTTATATTGTCAGCACTTCTATTAAAATACAAATTAATTCCTTCACAAAGCACAAGCTTGAGGAATACCTCAAGTATGGGTTTGAGGGATGTACATTGCTATCATGACAAATAAAAAGCCCAAACCCCTTCATCAACAACAAACTTTGCTTTGAAAAAGGTTTTAAATATATATTTGACTCAATCCCACCTCATACTCTTCTCTGAGCATCTTGACTATTCAGTATCCAAGATTTTATTCCCTATGAGGGTGTGAGGCCCTGGCACAGGTTGCCCAGAGAAACTGTGGCTACCCCATCCCTGGAAGTGTTCAAGGTCAGGTTGAAGAGGGTTTGGAGCAACCTTGGATAGTGGAAGGTGTCCCTGCCCATGGCAGGGGGGTTGGAACAAGACGATCTTTAACGTCCGTTTTAACCCAAACCAGTCTGTAGTTCTGTGAGTCAACACTCAATAAAATTCTGTTAAGAACTCATAAAATGAATAGGTAGATGCACAAGAAACAAACCTTTCCCATGCCAGCTTTTGATGGTAAATGATGTAACTACTTCAATATTTTTAAGAAGCTCTTGAAATTTGCCTGCTTAGAGAGACATAGGCGAAGAAATATGGCACTGTAGTGAAAAAGTCATCATAACAATGACAGTAGCTTTCCCCGCCACAGTCCCTAACCTTAATCCTCTTTAACTACAGAAAGGTTTAATTTGGAAAATCCAATTATCTTGACATCTAGAATTAGCCAAAAATTTAGATATCTTCCTAGTGCCTTATCTCACAGCTGCAGTGCACACTCAGCCCCTGTCTCATTTACAGTACAGCAGGAACTGATGCTTTTATTGATGATTTTTATTAACGCAATGGTATCAGTCAGGGTAAAGCCATTAGCCTCTTCTATGAACTGCTTCCACTCCTAGGCTGGTAGTTAGAATTACGGGTGCACTGCAGCGCAACCTATGTGCTTTTCTCTATATCTTTCCAACCATAAAGAAGTCTCTGGCAGCCCTGCCACTAAGTCTGTGGCTGTTGTGATATGAATATCTTCTCACCAGCATGATCTTCTTACATAATTTTTTTTTTTTTTTTGTTCTGTGGGAAAAATAAGTAGACAGAATGCTAGAGCGCATCCTTTTCTCAATATATTTATGGTATGAATAAATCATGCATTATACAATAAATGAGAACTTTCTGCTTATCTGCCATACAGTGCCTTCCCATTAATGTAGGTCACATCAAATATCAGCTTATTTAGGGTCTTAAGTTATTAACATATTTAAGTCTCTGTGAGTTATTTTGTATGCAGTGTATTTTGAAAGCGGATTTGTGGAGCTCCACAGCGATAGAACCATGTCTTCCCAAAAGCAGAGGCACTGCAGATGTGTTACCTTAGGCTTCAAGACCTGTTTGATACTCTATTAAGTCTCTTTTTATGTTTCGGAAGAAAAGAAATCCATGTTTTATATCCTTTCAAAGAGATCACTATTCATTAAAGAAAAATCCCGGAATACATAGCATATGGAAAGGCTGAAGGCTGCTCTGGAAACTCCCTGTCTGTGATGCCTCTGTGAACATGCCAATTATCCTCTACATTAATCCAGTGTCCAAACCCATAGTTTTTAACCAGTTTTGTTAACACTGACACTTTTTTAAAGACGAGAGAGTTTTTGCGGTGAGGAATACCCTGATTCCAGGGAGGCA